GGGGGGAAAGAGCTAAGAAGGTGTAGTAGTGTTGGTGGTGGTGGAGTTATCACAACGGGCTAGTGAAGAAGAAGGCGAGGTTCAAGGAAGAGGTGTTCACCGGGAAGAGAGAGATTGAGTATAGAGCATCATCAGACTTAACAATAATTTCCGAAGCATCACACGCAGACGGTATAAGGCTCGTAGAGGAAGGTGAGAAAGGCATCGGTACTGCCCAGTGGATTGGCACAGTGGTGGTCAGTGTGCAGTGAGTGCATCCACCGCCGTGACTCCTTCATCCTCCTCAGCAGGCTGGCCAGCGAGGCTTCCTCCCCGCCGTCCTCTGCCTCCTCTTCTCCCTGCTGCTCCTGGTCTTTCTTCTGCTCCTTGGTCAGTGCCAGCTTGCTGAGCAGTCCCACAATGAGCTTCATGTTCTCCTCCTTCAGGTCCTTCAAGTTGAGCGCCGAGAGCAGGTCAAACTTCATCTGACTGTTCAGGCGGTCAAAGAAGCTCAGTGAGGAGGTGGAGGAGGAGGCGGATGAGGAGGACGCTCCTTCACTATTCTCTTTCTTCTTCTCTTCCTCCCTAAACATCTGCTCCATCGTTTCCCTGTCGACAGTAGACCCCTGCTGCTGTTCTCCGTTGTGCCCCATCACCTCATCCTGATTGTCCTCATTGAGTGCCTCCAGTTTGACGACGAGAGGACTGCCGCTGGCGGTGCTCTCCTCCAGGGCGCCAAAGAGAATCTTCGCGTCGGCAGTGTAGAGAAAGACCGCGGGAATGACCACATCGGTGCTGCCATCGCCGGACATGGCAAACATGGGCATCGTCTTTGAGCTGCTGCCTTCGGCGTTGTCGGCGATGATGATGCCCAGGGCACCCAGGCGTTGAACATTGCGCGCCTTCTCGATGAACATGCAGCCACCTCGCTGGGCGAGCACCACCCTACCGGCCATCTCCGCCCGATTGCCGATCTCCTCCAGGTGACAGGCGTCAATGGCTGGCTCCGCGCGGACCAGCTCCCCCGAGACGGGCTGCTCCAGGGCGGCCAGGTCGAGGCCAAACTGAGCCGGGCCACCCAGCAGGCTAATGTTCACCTCATTGTTCGGTGGCGGGGAGCTGCTGCTGCTGCCACTGTCACTCTCACTGCCAGCTCTGCTCTTCAGCGTAAATGAGACCATCCGCAGGCGCGTCTCCTCTGCGACCTGCATCTTAGAGAGGGCAATCATCTCTTGCATAAAGAGAGCGCCCTCTTCGGCGTCGTCCATCGACCAGGCGGCGGCCGAGTTGTGCACCAGCTGGACGCGGCCGTCCTTTAGCACCAGCACGCTGATGCCCAGTCCCTTCAGCAGCTCAATGTGCTCCGGCTTGGCGGCGGAGAAGTCGGCGGCTCGAAGGCGAGGCACTGAGAGGAGGCTCGGATGGCGAAGGCGGTGGGAGCTGCTGGAGGAGCTGCTGGTGGTGGACGAAGTGGACGAAGGTCTGGAGGCAAAGTCCTCGACGCCCTTTCGAATCAGCTTGTAGTAGCCGCTGCTGTCCATCAAATGCTGGTGATGCTGTTGCTGCTTTGCTGATCGACTACAAGTGGAGAAGTGCCTACGGGCGTTCTCCTTCAGCACCGCCTTCGTGCTGGGGCAGAAAAAGTCAGAAGAGGTGCTCGAAAAGTAGGCGCCCTTTCTTCGAACTGGAGGTACACTCTGCTGCTGCTGCTGCTGCTGTGTGCTGTTGACTGCTTCGGATTGCTCTGCTGTTGCTGTTTCTGTTGCTGTCGTCATTGGAGGCCACTTCATCTGTCCCAGAGAGAGTGGCAGCAGGTGGCCCTCGGTAGTGAAGACGTAGTCTTCAAGATTGAGATCTGTGTAATGTAAAAAAGGGTTAGCATTGTTTAGTTTGAATCATCATCAGCACTCACCAATCTCGCCCTTCTTACTGAAGAGCAGGTAGAGGTACTTGAGCGTCTCCGCGAGAAAAAACGAGTCCATTCGGTCCTCCTTCTTTTTCGTCCGCACATCATTGACGGCGGCAAAACCGCAAGGCACTCGCGTGTAGTTCTGCAGACTGCTCAGCGCCTCCTTGCCCACCTGCAGGTAGTGCTCATCGCCGGTAGCCTGGTACAAAAAGTAGGTGCTCTCGATGAACTCCGGTCGCAACGGGTGGTGCGGCCAGTGCACGTTAAAGCGGTCCACAGTGAAGGCCTCAGGGAGGAAGGTGTGCCGCTGGGTGACCTGGTAGAGCACCTCGTGCGTCTCAATCGCCGGCCGCAGGTCGCCTTTGAGCACCTGCAGGCCGGGCCAGAAGGCAAGCAGCGAGTCCATGAAGTTCTTCGCCTGACTGTGCGGCCGGTGCATGTGCACGTCAATCAGCAGCGGCCCCTGGCTGACGTACTTCATGACGCCGGCGTAGTGGCGGTTGAAGCGGTGCAGGTAGCTCTGGTCGCCCAGCAGAATGTACGCCTTCAGGCAGTACCTGTACAAATACACAAACACATGGTGAGTGTCGCGGAATAAATTCTGTCACTGTCAATTGAATTACTCGTAGTAGGAATCGATACCAGCGCCCACGCCCGACTCTTTGCGCACCCAATCACCGGTGTTGATGTTGAGGACGTTGCCCATCAGATTCGACTGCCGGTGCCGCTTCTGCCAGAGGTAGTCCATCGCCGTACGGGCCTTCTCCTCGAACACCGGATCGCCGGTCAGTCGGGACAGGGCGGCAAACTCGAGGATCATCGTGCCGGCGCAGGAGGTGCAGGTCTCCCGCAGAGAGCCAATCTTGGCGCTGTTCAGGCCGTACTTTAAGTTGATGCGCGGATGAGGAATGCCCGTGGTGGTTTCAAAGGCGGGCAGCAGTCTGAGGCCAATGTCCTTGGCCATGTCGAGCAGCTGGCTGTTGTACCACTGCAGGTAACCGTTGCTATTTTGTTTTGCCTTGACCACCAGCGCGAGGACGTGCGCCGAGAGAAGGCCACCGACGATGCGAATGTTCGTCTCAAAGACGGACACGACAATGTCCTGGTCGAAGGAGACGTCGCTGACGATTCGAAAGGCAGCATCGTCAAACTCTGAGTAGTTTCCTAGTATCTGTGGATAACAAGAACAGTTTTGAGAACAGTTTCTAGATTGACCTTCACCACTTCTCCACTTACCACAAGACTGTCAAGAGTATCGATTAGAGTAAGAGAAAAATTGCCGAGAGCGTCATCAACGTCGCCTCGATTCGCCTCCACCCCGCGGAACCGTCCCCGACAGCTGAGTGGCATCAGCTCGTCCGCCGGGTAGGCGTGCTGCATGTACGAATCGTAGGCGTGAATGAACATTTCACGAGTTTCCTCCCTGAAAGTAAAAGATAAAGATGTAAACAAAGATAATGGAACAATACAAACAGACGATACCTTAAGCTGATGCGTTCTTCCTCACTGAAGCACTCCATCACGGTAAAGAGGGGCGGTAGAATGCACAGCAGTCCATAGAGGAGGTAGCAGTGTATCCACGTCGATGTTTGCATTATAAAAGGCGGTGGCGGCCTGAACGGGAGACCTGCTGGAAGACTTGGGAGGTGGCTGCTGCTGCTGTTGATGATGATGATGATGCCTCTTCTTCGCTGTCGTTATCATTCGGCAATAGTCAAGGTGAACATTCGTTTGACAAATTCCAATTTTTTGAAAAGAGCAAACAAACAGAGTAGTATCACAATCTCAAGAAGGATTTAAAGCGGATTCCGCGTCTTGCTGCTCAATCAGTGCGTGAGGAAGAGAAAAGATAGAAGGCAGAGACTGGCACTCACAAAGGAACAACACTTTAAAAACACTGGTAACGTGGCCTCCTCTTCCTCCCTCTATCAGCAGTAGCAGTAGATCACCATCATTATACCTTGATGCTGGCCATGATCACCTCTCTCGCAGTCACTTACTCCAGGTGTTTGCTTTGCTGTAGTAAACTCTGAAGCAGCTGTAGTGCTCTAATCAGTTGTCTCGTAAACACACGCAACCACAAGCGAGAAAGAGAGAGAGAGAGAGAAGCAGAGTCTGCTTTGCCTTTGCTGCGTTGCGCAGCCTTCTGAACACGCGCAGGGCAGCTGCCGAGTGTGCAGTGGCACTGCATCACCCCCACCACCACCACCACCACCACCATCATCATCTCGGCAATGCCCAAATTCAGCCTACCTGCTCTGTTTGCTACGGCTGCCACCGCTGATGTATCTCTCCTTCGCCACCAGCAGCTTCTGTCGTCAATGCAGCACCTCCTCTAACACACAACATTGCTCTGGTATGGACAGCCACTGACTGTGAAGACTGAAGATCAGCATCAGCAGCAGCGGCGGCCGTCCGGCGATGAAGATGATGCACCAGCACCAGCAGCCAATGCAATCAGCATCAGGTGATAGCGAGTCGACCATCAGAAGCAGCGATGCCGACTTCAAAGAGATTGGTGAGTGTTTTTGTTGTTATGTTTTTTTCCGATGATATTGGCGCTATCTAATCTCCATCCTTTATTGCTTGTTTTGATTTTCGCCACTCCGACCACTTCAGCCGCCTCCAAGTTCAATGATATTCGGTTTCCCAAATACCGCTTCGCTTCAAAGCTGCGATATCTGCAGAAGTTGGCCAACTGTGAGTGCTTTTTTATTTCAACTTTGACGAAGAGAGACGACAGCTAATCTGTTCCACTAATCAATTCAGTTCAGCTGATCGACCTTTTCAACACCTTGGAGGCGTTTCGCGAGTACGGCCTGAATGGCAACCCTGACATCGGCTCACTGGTGGCCAACGCACAGGTGTACTCTCTGCTGGACTATCTCTTCGTCCAGCTTCATCAACGACTGCCCATTGCCCGCTCCAGGGATGTGGACGTCCGCCAGTCTACCGATCTAGTGTACAGCTGGATCGTCGACACCTTTGACATGCAAGTTGAAACATACAAAGAAAATTAACTGCTGAATATTTTCTGACCTTTTTTACCTTTTTTTGCAGAAACCAAACCGGCTTCACAAACCTATTGGCGCTGAAAACCGCCCTGACGCTGCTCAGCGCGGAGACGTACAAGCGAAAGCTCGCCTACCTCTTCACGCTACTTTCCACGACGGTCGACGGCACCGGCGCCGCCTACCTCCTCGAGACCTCCTTTGACCAGTTCCTGCGGCACATTCTCACCATTGCGCAGTACTTTGAGGACGTCTCGATGCTCTTGTTCGACGAGGACCTGCACCCTTCGCTCTTCAACTTCAGCGCCAGCTCACCGCCGGTCACCAGCTCGGCCTTCATCGAGGTGCTGAGCAGCTACGAGAACCAGGCCGACTTCACCGCCTGGCTAGTCGTCTACCACCGTCTGGCGGACGCCGAGCTGGTCATCCACCACTCCGCCACCTGCGCCGTCTGCGGCCGACACGCCTTCAGCGGCTTTCGCTACAAGTGCAAAAAGTGCCCCGCCTACAACCTCTGTCAGGAGTGTTTCTGGACGGGCAAGAGCTCGGGGGCGCACGACGCCGACGAGCACGCCTGCAAGGAGTACCTGCTGGAGAAGCCCCGGCTCAGGCAGTCACTGCGCCAGTCATTTCGAAACTCATTCCGACGGTCGCCGAAGAAGCTGTCAGCTGAGGCGGCAGCTGCACAGCAGCAACAACAACAACAGTCACAACCGCCGCCTGTTGATGAGCAGCTGACGAGGAAGGAGCTCAATTTGACGAATATCATTGCCTCGCCGACGGGGCAGAGAAAGTTCGGTGTTACGTTTGGACAGCCACCTTCTTCGGCTGCTGCTGCTGCTGCAGGAGTCGAGCACTATCGCTTTCATGACATTGTCCACCTTGATCACCACCATCGCCACCACCAACTTCCCGGTTCACATTCTTCCAACTCTATTACCAATTTAAGCGCCGATGAGGAGCACACGCTAATTGGGCACTACCTTCGTCTGCTCAGCTCTGCCGCTGCCACTGCCTCAAAGTCAGAAGGAGCTCAACCGACGCCCAGGACGAGACATTTCGATTCTACTTTGCCTGCAGTCAACTACAGCAGAATTGCTGGCGGCAACGCCGGTGATCTTCACTCCTACGAAAAGGCAATAGACGCACTGGAGAGCAAGAATCGCCAGTTGATGGCGCAGATTGCCCAGATGAAGGTGGGCGGAGGCGGCGGCGGCAGTGGAGTATACAGGTCATCTCGAGTCAACTCTACGTCCAGCGCCACTTCCAATAACATGGACCACACCGCACATGTTGCAGCTCCTCGAAATGACAACGAGCGAGCAGCGACACCGCAGTCATCAGGCGGCGGCGGCGGCGTCGTCGTCGGCAACGCCTTCTTCGATGAGCTGATTTCCCTGCGCCGGAAGAAGGACGACTTGGAGAAGTACCTTGGTGATCTGAACGACCACCGAAAGGTGCTCATGGTGCAGCTGGACGGGCTGATGCGAGAGTTTCAGGAGCTGGACGTCAATGGCAATAGTGGTGGTGCTGGTGGCACCAGTGACGGCACCGCCTCTGAGCCCTCCTTCAGTCGACAGAGCTCAGTGGCGACCACTGTTGAGCGGCAGTTTTCCACCGTTTCAGCAATGGACACTGTGGATGAGCTGGAATCAGTCAAGTGATGATGCTTTTTACCCTTTCTAAACCTCTTTGAAACGTTTCTTTCAGGCAATCCTTCCCGGCAATTGTTACTTCACCGAACACCAGTTCACCCCCTTCCCTAACTCTTCGAGCAATTTTAATGCAATTTACCTTAAGCTTCAGTTTTGGCAGCAGACAAAGTATTTATTTTTTATTCGAGAGTGTATTTATTCTTTTTACTTGTATACTTTAACTTCTTCCTCTTTTTCTTCTCCTTTTGTACCACCAATCTAACCAATTCACTAACTTTCAATAATATTACGCGTTCTTGCATTTACCCCCCTTTAGGATTGAAAGGGATTTCTAAAAATCTAAATCGTTGATAGCAGTGCAATTTAAATGAACTCATCAAGCGAAGTTTAATGTTGAGGTGACTGACCAGATGAGCAGCAGCAAAATGGCCTTCCGGTGTGATAGTCGTTTGATTGGTCTACTATTGCCGCTTCTGATAACGTTTACCAAGGAAAAACAAGGCTGCTGCTGTTGCTGCTACAGTTTTCCTCTGTCTCTCTCTCTTTTTGATTCACCATCAGATCCTACAACAAAAGTGTAGTGAATCCTTTTCTTTGTTTGTCACTTTGAATGCTCTGAATGAGCAATGATCGCAATATTCTGCCGAATTCGATGGCGTTTCATCCTCTGCATCTTCATTCTCTTGATTTCTGTTGTGCAGAATGTAGTCAGCTTCAGCTGTCCACTGCCATCACCAGTGTTGAAGCTTAACATTAGCCAGTTTGCTGCTGGTGAGGTGGTCAGTAGAAAAGGTGGCGACTTTCTTGACGTCAAAGTGGGCACCAATCTGACGTTGACCTGTGAGGGAACGGTCAAGTCGAACTGCAGCAGCAGCAGCAGTGTTGGAAACAGTGTCATCGAATGGATTCTGCCCGAGTTTCATCCGGTAAAACGATGAGTATTTGTAATTGTTAATGTTTATAATGTTTTCTCTTTAGCTCTTTGATCTTGCCCTGCCCGAGTACATTACCATATCTGAGGAGATATTTCCGAATTCCAGCACTGTCATCAGCCGACTGAGCATTACCAATGTGGAGACAGGTGACGTTGGCCAGTACCTCTGTCTCTACTCTCAGTACCTTCATCTCGGTGAACAGAATCTTCGAGCGGAAAATGGCTCAAACTCGCTGTACCTTTTTGTCACTGGTAAGAAAAACGAATCTAACGTTTTCAATTTTCACATTTAGTTTTTTAGATCCAGACAGCCTCTTTGTGAAAGCGACGCCCATCCTCACTGCGGTGCACAACCGAAGCGCCGAAATTGCCTGTCGTCCCTCTTCTTCACAGGCAAAGATGACACTTTATCAGGTTGATCCAAAAACGGGTCACCATCTAGAAATGCCTTATGAAATGGTGGAAAATGGCGCGTGGACAACTGCAAGCGAGGTGGAAACAAACACCAAAATAGCTGCCGTACAGTACAGTCCTCGACGAGGCTTTCTCTTGGCCACTATCAACAATGATCGTCTCATCTGCCGGTCTCGGCTGGCAGTGGAGGATGATGAAGTCAAGCAGCAGGACAATAGCATCATCATTCAGTACACTAGTTAGTTAAAAACAAAGTAATTTAACAAGGATTTGGTAACCGTTTTCACTTTGTTTTTAGATGGCATTGACTTTGCAAGCACACCAGTTATTACCTCTAAAACAACTCATCCTTACGCTTTCTCTGGTCAAAACTTTAGCCTCAGTTGTGTGGTTGAGAAGGCACAGTCGAGTCACGTATTCCTCAAGTGGACACTACTCAATCAGACGTGCTATGAGGTATCCCCTTACGCCCTTGCTGACATTCAATTTGAACTAACACTTTCCAA